CAACGTGTCTTCAGTTGCACAATTACTCCTTGAGTTAGTACCAAAGAATAAATTTGGAACTGAGAAAGAGATATATATTTTTTTGTAAATAATGTGTTCTGTAAATCTCAAGTGCAAGAACATCTGTACAAGCTGTGTAATTTATCGTAGTCGTTTCTGTTACGGTACCTCTCAAAACAGAAGGATTTCCCTACATTTCAGTTCATTCTTAATGCACAGGAACAACGGTAATCTTCCTCTTACTGTTCAGTGATCGTCTGCTTACAATTCCCAAATCCCGTGTGATTTGGCTGACAGCAGAGCCGTCAGACATCCCTTCCTGTCCCGTCAGCAGTTTTGCTCCTGCCTGGACTGGCAGCGCTGCAATGGCACGCTGCCAAATGTGACATCCACTCGGTCACAAATTCAAGCAGCCTTGGTATTTTCTTTCTTGATGGTAATATCAAAGTTACCAAGGTCTTTAAGGTCCTTAAGACCTGTAAAGAAACATTGTTCCTTGCTTACTCCTTGAGTTGGAAATGATACTCCTTGAACTGGAAATGAAACAGCACAGATATATTATCGTTGGATCAGATGTTATCTAAAGCAGGCTGGGCTGCTCTTCAGTAAGGAACAGATAACAACATTTGCCTTGGAACTGATAAAATAAATTCCTAAAAGTAAAGCCTCTTGCACACAGTTTGCATTTTAAAAGTCACTGTTTCCCCTTTTCACTACTACTCCATTTATTTTAAACAGGGACATAATCACGCTCATACTGAGACAGTCAGTGATGCAGGTGCAGACATGCTTAGGTCATGAAGCAGGTTCTGTGTGTTCAGACAAAGTGCAGGCCTTCATCTCCCTCTTTGGAAACTTTCAGCGAAATTTTTAACAGTGTATGAATTTTTTTTTTCAAATTTCCAGTATTTTAAATCCCACAAACACTACATTTCAACTTCCTTTCTGACTCTGTTCTAACTGCCACTGATGCTTTACACTTCTCTTGCTCAATAAATATTGCTGCAGAATTTCTTAGGTGGAAGGAAACAGGATTCTTTAGATTCTCACGTTGACTAGGAGAAAAATAGCAAATAGCAAATTTTCATCACAGTTAAATTGCAGTAATCTGAATATGACTCTGCTTTGACTTTGTCCAATATTTTGCTTCTCAGCAAATCCTATCAGAGAATAAGGAGGGAGAAAAGAATGCCCTTTGAAGATAGTATTGATAAAAATCAAAAATGGAAATAAGCTCATTTAAAATAAAATACTTACCTTGGAAACTGTAAACTCATAGTAAATGTAGGTGCTACTCTCAACTATGCCTAAAAGGTAAAGAAAGGTAAAGTTACACTTGCAGTGCAGAAAGGAACAGCATCAGAAACAGGACTGTTCCTCTGCCAGAGACCAACAAATTGTTAATTAGCATCATTACTGCCTTCAGAGGCCACACTGAGCAACTCAAATATTTACTAACGTTTCTTAGAGCGACTGAAATTTCTCTTCTGTTTTCCTTAGACTAGTCTCCCAGGAGATCTAATCTTCCAAATTTTTCCAACAATTCCTTCAAATCATTTCTAAAATGTAATAATTTTTTATTTTACTGTTATTCCTTCTTAGCTTCTCTTAAATGTAGTTGCATGGCTCAAAGTTAATCCTTAAAAATACCCTAAATAAGCACAATAATATTGATAATCTATGCCACAGAACCATAAGAGAGGAAGTAACAGGCCATAGAGAAAAGGGAATGCAAAAGTGGAGTCAATCTGGCATTTTTTTTTCTATGTATGAAAAGTAAAATACTGCCATTTCAAGCAAATTGTAAACAGTTTCCCTGAAAAGTCTGCAACTTTAAAGTTTGGGGCAGGAAATAACATCATAAGATGCTTTATTGTTTTGTTTCTCAACAGAAGTGAGCACAATAATAGCTTCCTTATTTCAGACCTTGACAAAGGAGTACATCTAGCTGTCATATCAGCAACCACCCAAGGCCTTCAATATTTATGGCAGCAATAATCAGCCAAATCACAGCTTTATTTCTTTAAAACATCAAACTTCCACAAAATTTTGAAAAAAAAGAGGCTTGAAAGTCTTTCTGGGAGGTCTGATTGGTACAGTTCAAATAACAAAAGGGAGTTGTACAGGTCGAATGCAGAATCACAGAATGGCTTGGATTAGAAGGGACCCAAAAGATCATCTGGTTCCATAACGCAGAGGACATGGTAGCTGTGCAAACAGGAAAGTGGGGGATGCAGTTTGGAGCCCCAAGAGCTGCTGCTTTCATGGAAGTGTAGTCAGAGCCCTGGGTCGTGCACACATAGCTCAACACCTTGTATATAAAACACCTCCATGAATCACCACCTGGAAGATCTCTGCCTAGTTTTCAGAATGATAAATTAAACATGCACATGATTTTGTAGCATTACTTATTTTTACCTCAATGGTAATTTTACTCCAACTAAACTTTTATCTCTACATTCTTGTTGCTGCAGTGTTTTCTATTTTCTAACCTACATTTTATTCCAGTGTAGCTAAGGAAAGCTCTGACACTTTTGCCACTGACAGCAGTCTATGGATGAATTAGAAAAGACTGGGTCTACTTGAAATGCAAGAGTATTAACTGGCATACATCACAAATCAAAGCCCCTAGCTCTGAATGTTAGGGTTTGTTGCAAACAAAACAACCAAATCTGTGAAATACAAGTACTTAAACTATTTTAAAACAAGCATATCTTGCAAAACTTCTACAAAAAATCATACCAGAATAGCCGTTTAAACTGTTTGCTGTCTTTTCTAAGTACCACCTAATAAAGGACAAAGGCTGCAAAAGCAGCCTGAAGGATTTAAGTATTCCAAACTCTGAGTTTAATGGAAGCAGCATGCCTAACTAAATCCTCAGGAATCTCACAGGAAATCTCACAGAACATCTCACAGTTCAAGATACTTCATTTTTCAATATTTCCTACATCTCAAGAGTAAAATGAAGACAATATCTAGTTTTTGCAAAGTTATTCCATTGCTCTAGATAAACTTGGCTTTTCTTAGACAGCATGTATTCCAAAACCAGGTTTAACCTTAAATTAGAGGTTTGTGTCTTTTTTTTTATAAAAAAACAAACCAAACCAAAACAAAACAACTTGTGTTAAATTAAGTTGTGACTTTAATCTTACCCTAAGCAAAAGAAGTAGTTGTGTTGTAAATTGTTTCACAGAAAAAAAAACTGGTGAGGTAAGCGGTATCGATGCCAGTTCATCACGAGAGATGAGGTTGACCAGCCTTGGCATAATCATAGTGACCATCCCAGGTGGAAACAAGTTCCCCAGCAGCTTTACTAAAGGCGAGGTTGGCAACATGACAAATACAGCCCGTACACGCTTACTCGCGTGCGTACGCACCAGTAGGCTGTGGAAACCAGATGGCAGAAAAGCGTTGGCTCCAATACCGTACTTCTGAGTTAACAAAATTTCTACTGTTTTCACAAGCAATTCAAATAATTCCAGGCAGTCAATAACAGGGCTCGTTTTCATTTTCTTACTGTCGAACACTAATTCTGCGTGTTCTTGCACCCCATGAAACTAATTTGGATGTATACCAGAATGTATATCAACCCTGACAGCATGGTTTAGCAGTCAGCACAGTCATGTACCAAACGTTTGCAGAGTTAGAAACCTGAACAAGAAAAAATTACATTAGTAATGGCTACAGTTTTCCACTTAAAAGTGGTGAAACAGTATTGACATACGGATAAGCATGAATAGCACGTTACAGCAATGTAACGTGCTATTGCTCCATGAATGTAATGTTTGTAACGTTCTTGCTCCATGAAATCAGCAGGGAGATTGAAACTTTTAAGTATGAATTTCTTGTAAATCATACTTATTTCACTATTGGTAACTGCTCACCTGTAGAGTCTCCATCATCCCAGAACAAGTTCCCAGAAGCTGTATAGTTGTCATCCAGGGCAATTATAAGTCCCATTGGATTCCTGCGGCTGTGGAAACAGAGGCAGTCGGTCTTCCATGTGTATCAAAGATCCCAACAGTCTTAATACATCCTTCCTGTTCATGTTAAGAATTTGATCCTCAACCGGCTTGCAACACTTTGAGAATTGCCTTATATTAGTCCTTGGCTGCCTTTCATTTTCAGGTAAACAGATTAAAACACCTGGCAAGTTTACACAATGCTACGCAAATAAACCCGTAATTAATCACTGAACCTGTGATTTCAGGAGTCACAGAAGTGAGGTCTGGCTCACAGTTATTCCCGTGTTTCAAGGTGAAAATTCTAAACACAATGGGCTGCTACTGATTTGAAAGTCCTCAGCCCAGTCTTGAAAAAAAAGCCACATGAAAGCATTTGGTTTCGAAGCCTACCTTGAAACTGTTGTGTTAGATGGCCCTTGAGTAGGGTAAATGTAGCCTCCTTGCAAATCAAGTCCCAGTTTGTCTGCTGGAAGGTACGTATCAGTCCCTTGTTTACTCATGCAAAAGTGGACGTGCAACTGTGTCTCCTTGAGTATGAGCTTTATAAAAGAGTGTATACAGGTAAGGCAGCAAAGTGTAGCGAATGTTCAAGTAATACTTGGAGCTTTCCACCAAGACTGAATCAGATCCAAACACAGCCGGATCCTGAGGCTGAAAACAAATATCAGACTATTATTTTTTTCATCATGAGAAAACACTCTGCCCAATAGGTGACAAGTGGCTGCTGTGTCAGAGAGGCAGCAATGCAATGGTGCACATCTGCACTGTGTTTGCTTTCTGGGCGGTGTGACCTGAGGTCCTGCTCCTCCGGGTCACTGTGTTTTGCATGACATTTCCCTCCTTGTCCATCTTCAACGACAGAGCCATTCAACACATTTGTACCTTTCTTCTCTCAAATATAACTCTCTGTTTAACTGAGTACTATCTAACACTGCCCATCATTCTATTTCTTCCAAACCTTTATCATTCTGTTTGGTGCTAATATGCATACGTTAAGACAGGTTTAAATCATGGCAAAGAATTTGGCTATTTCGCTTTTAAATGGATGTCTCTATTTCATTTGAAATGATAAGGAAAACACCAAAGTGTTTCACATGGATCACTAGTGTTTAAAAATTACTAGAAGTGACAGGTAGCTTAGGATATATAAGATAATATGTTTGTTACCCACATTTATCTCACCATACACACAGCCACCATAATAAAAATAAGTGGCCTAAATTAAAAAATCAATAACTGGGAAAAGAAAGTGTTTTCTTAAAGGGATTCATTTAGAAGTGAAAAGTCTTGCTGTTTTGGAAAATGCAGGCCATGGACTGTTCTGAAACCTTTTTCTAAAGTTTTTAGGATGCATTCCTTACATCTGTGTTGATATGGCTATAGAATATCCATAAATATTATGGACATGATATTATTTCCTCTACTTCTGCACCGCGTCCATACAAAGTGTAATACAGGAATACAAAGATAACTTTTAAGGTCCCTTTTGATTCTGATTAGTTCCAATCTTTTCTTTAATGCCCATTCATGACATTCAAGCCCTTTTTTCTCTTTAATGTTTGCACTAAGGCCAGTATTAGCACTACAAAACCCAAACATTACTTTTGGCTGCTGGTTTGATCCATCTTTGCTTTGTGACATTTTCTGCTCTTGAGCTTTGTGTACTTCATGACAACACACAAACAGCAAAACAATTCATCCGTTACTGCTACCACCTCCATAAATGCAGCTTTGCTAAAGGACTGGAATTTAGTACACCAGTGGATAATGTGCTTCAATTTGTTCAGTGCATAACAGATTAACTCACTGATTAACTCGGCTTACTGCACAGGCTCCAAATAGCTTTCTGACCCTCAGGATTCCATCACAGTCTTCAAGTTAACTGGGAGCTACTCACTGCTTATATTATGTATGCAAAATACTAATAAATGCTTACATTGATGATTGCCATCAGATATCTGGAGACAACTTGCTTTAAAATGCTATATGGTACAGTATTTAAAAAAAAAAAAAAGGATATCTACATCAGTTCAGTTTTGATCCCAATCGAAAAGATAATTTCAAGAGATAGTTAACTACAATGTTCAGAGCTATAAAGAAAGATTTCTTACCCATGGCATTGCTTTTCATTAGGAAGACACCAAAGATGATTCCGGTGCTGTCTTCCAAACATAGGAAGAAAGTTTGAACTCCATATAAAGTTAGTTATTTCCTTAAAGGATGAAAAGGAAAAGTAGGCTGATTAAAACCTAATAACAGTATCTGCTTCGGACATTTCAAAATATATCACAGGTAGAACTCGAAACTTCTCCAAATATAGCAAACAAAAATAAAAATCCTGACACTTTCCTACAGTTCTATTTTCTCTTTCCTGGCATTCTTCTCCTTTATGAGGACATTGTCAATTAAAACAAAAGTTTCCCCAAATATACAGATACCATAAGCAAGCAGATATGATAGAACTTTGGGCAAGTCTGTATATATTGCTGTACTATTTCTGAGTAATACAGGTGCATATCTAGCGAAATACAGAACTTGAAAGGTGCTTTCATCACCTTTCACCATAGGGTGAAAAAAAAAAGAAACCATATGTTTCTTTTAATCCTGCAAGGCAATCATTTTTGTGTCTAATCTATGGAAACAAGAGTGCCTTGCTTCTTTTTTATTTCCTTTCTTATGTTTTTTTTGTTGTTATTATTAGCAACAAAAACCTTAGAAATGATAACAATTGTTTTCACAGTTGTGCTTCTTCCTCTGCAAAAGAAAATTCAGAACAAATTAACGAGAAACAGAACTTGAGCAATTTGAAATTAGCCTAACTTGATAGTGCTCACTGTTAGTTAATGAGTCAACACTCAATAGAGCCGTTCAGGTAAGAACTATCTTTAAACCTCAACATACTAAGTATTAAGAAGAAGCAGTTTATAAAATAAATATTTAGTAAAGATGGAAAATAAATGAGATTATCTAACTATAAACAAGCTCTATTATAGAAATAAGTGTGAGCTAACTCAGATTTTGATTCTGAAAACAAAACCAAGCATGATGATGTTTCACTGGGCCAAATCATACTCTGCGTAACCTTCTCTAGTAATTATATCTTGACTATGCAGAATTAGTTTCTGTCAAATTCCCCCACGGATATCAAATTTGCAAAAAACATAAAAAAATATACCCAAAATACAGAAAAGGTAGAAGACTCAGAAGATATGAGAAATAGAAGCAAGGCTGGGGGGGCAATGTGTGTGTTTATTTCAGTGACACATAGGGCTCCTAATATATAATTACAGTTGTCATAACTCCAGCTGGATATAGATAAGAAGATGGAGGCATAGGTTCTGTTGAGCTCCTGAGTGTCCCACCAGCGGAGCTGGGAACAGCCATATTGCCAGAGGAGGAGGCTTGTCCTACAGGTGTGCTCTAATGTTCCCGCTTTCTTAGCAGGAAACCTTCCTCTCTGCACCCCCTCCTTGCCAGCTAATGGGTGAGGACAGGCAGGTGCCACAAATACAGGAGGGACAGCTTGAGGAGATGCGAATCTCCATGGCTCACTTGCAGAAGTATCTACCTGCGTCTTTAGATGCCTAATTTTAACACCTTAGGTCAAAATGATGTCCAACACTAAGGTTGTCATGCCCAGTAAGTAAGAGTGTTCACCTTGCCACACATCAACCAAACGTTGCAATCCCTTCTCAGAAGAAACTCCCAGAGAAGCTGTCTCAAGGTGAGGGCTACAAGTTCCAAATTATTAATTATTTACATACAATGGTCTCTCCTCCTATTAGTATAGCTCGTATTTCAGCAAAACACTGAAATGTTCTCTCAAAGCAAAGCAAATGGATTATTGTTTTATGAAGCTGAGGTAATAGTGACAAATGGGGGATTGGACTAGATGATCCTTTGAGGTCCCTTCCAATCCCTAACATTCTGTGATTCTGTGAAATGGGCTCATTAGCTAGTTATAAATAAATTACTTTAAGAACTCCAATAAAAAAAAATAAAAAAAAATATTCATGTTAATAAATATTCCTTCATTCATGCTCTACATGGACTTCTTTCTCTGAATGTTCATAATGCATTGATTATGTACTAGACACGTAGAGTTTTCAATGTTTTTTTCATAGCATTATCTCAAGGCAGAGCTTACAAGCCTTAGCAAATATTTCCCTAGTCAAAGCAAAAGATATTCATGAACATAGCAACAAAATTTGATAGTTTACATCCCCAAAGTACAGAAAAGATTTTCTCTGGGAATACAAAGTCAGAAAAAGCAAGAAGCAGAAAGTAATTATCATTGTTTGAATCGGCACCTCACCTGATTTTAACCCCCTTACACTCAGAGTATCTCTGGTAGCAAACCACCGCAGCGAGGAACTGACAGAGCAACACCGTGTACCTGTGTGTGCCACTGTTAAGAGAAGTTAGATCAAAGCCTTAAAGAAGTCTCTGTGCAGATGTGAGACTCTTCTCTTACAATTATCGAAAAACGGGTGCCCTGGAAATCATTCTGGAAAGAGACAGCCATACAAACCGTAGAAGCAAATAACTGCTGACAGACATATTTTATCCTGTAAAGAGACAGCTGCTAAAGAGAACTGCTACAAGGATGTTTACTGAAGAAGCGTGTGTCATCTGTACTGAATGCTGCACACAGCAATGCATTAGGACATATTGTTATTTATTTTGTTTTTCAGTAGAAACTCAAGACTCTCTTATATTAATGTTTATCAACTGTTTTTTAACTGCACGTCAGCACAAAAATAAAAATATTTATAAAAACCTATTCCTCAGGGAACCTTCATCAGTGCCATCTAGCTTTTAGTAATAACATGCAGTGCCTGAAAAGTCTCTGGGGAAGAACTCCATGGATATTATTCATGCGTCTACTGCAAAATAGCCTCGGATTCCAGAAGTCATCTGCAAAGAATGAGCGTAATAAAACCAGTCCTTACATCAGAGGGAGGAGTATCCCTGCTGAACATGGGCCAGGTTTTCCAGTTAACATCATGCTGGTACTGCTTGTGCACGTGCTCTCCCACACCATAAATGTTGCTGCTGGGTAGGTTGATTGAGAGCTGTAAAAACTGGTCAGCGTACTGCAGGGGTCCTATGGTAGTGTTGAACCTGATGGAACAATTTAAAAGAAAAAAGTATTTTAACAGGAATTGTTGCAATAAATCTTTCAACTCCTTTAGTTATAGCTGGATAGCAGGTTCAGGTCTCCATCTGGAGACCTCAAGGAGAAGGAGATGGGATGGTGTGGGGCTGGAGCAGAGTGACTCCGGCACAGACGAGGAGGTGAGCAGAGCCTATTGATCCTATAGAAATGTCTCATACAGGTGGCTCATCTATTTTCAGGAGTACCTTTGCACTTCCATCTTCCACCGAAGCTTCCCACCCTGCATCTGTTGCTCTGAATCCACTCTCTCTGGTCACTCAGTAATAGGGCAGATAGAAAATTTCTGTGGGTGGACAGAAACATAAAAGTAATTAACTCCATCAGATTTTGCAAATCAATTGCAGCTTTTGTTTGCCAGCAAAAATGAACATGACCTGCTCTTGAGTCCTGCTAGGACAGTTCCTACAGGGAAAGGCAGACACAGATACGTTCTATCTCTTGAGCAAATTGAACATAGATGAGAACAGATTAAAATTATAACCTGATCCTCAGCATTGTTCAAATCCTGTTGGGTGACATCTCCTGTGGCAAATTCTGCATAAAGCTGCCGCTAAGGTTTTTAAGGAACGTGAAGTTGGTGGCGTTGAAAATACATACAGAGATGACTGGATACAAGTATCCAAATGGAACAAGCTGGAGATCCCTGTTCCACCTTTATGACTATTAGCAAAACACACAGTAAGAGTCAATTTAAACAATAAAGTTTCTTCTGTTAATTTAATTTTACACATTTCACAACTCCCTTTCATTGCAGACGAACAATTAATCTTCTAAACAAAGATTAGGAGAGTTTTAAATACTAAAGTAAAATTTCACTCCTTGTTTCTATGGGAAAGACTTGGGAAACAGTGGGGAAATCTGAGCTGTGCTGAAGTAGAGAGCAGCAGGAGGCAGTCCCAAGGCGAGGTGCCCCAAGGAGCAGCTCACTGCAAGGCAATGGACTCACAGATTCTCTCTCCTTCCCTTATCTCTGCTGACCTATTGCAGCTGTGACGGTGAACTGGACTCTAGACTCCCTCAACCAGAAGAGCTTCAAGTTGTGACTTGCCTGTGGTCTCCTAGGGTGCCAAAAAGACTCCATGGAGCATCTTAGGCATTCTCATTCCTGATGGACGGAGAGGAGCATCTGTAGGGATCTTCTACAGCCAAGTGTGTGCCCACAAAACAACCAAAATGTGGTCTTTTTCTATCCTGTGACAAGAATACTGGGATCTTGGTCATGTTTATCCTAGCAATGCAATGAAATCTCTCCCTAGGAAGCCAAGTGCACAGGAATGGTTGAACCACTTTGTATATCCTAAGCAACACCAAATATCAACCTGGGTAAAGATCCCCCACAACTCAGGGATTCATTAAAACATTACATTTCATTGGTTTTGAACTTAATGGTGTTCATTTGCCTCTTTCGTTTTTCTAAGATTTGGAAAATTTCCAATTGGAAACTGTCTCAAAATTGACCCCTACCAGGAATTAGAGTTTCCATCCATCATCACTTTTTACATTAAATTATCATAAATAGAACATAACTGTGAGTTAAACCAAAATTAAAGCAGAGAGCAATTGGAATGAAGCTGATCCTCAGATTTGAACATTATCTTCAGCATCATTAAACCAAGGGGGATCTGTGCAAACACAGTCTTTCCTTGAAAGCAGAGAAAATGACTTACTTTGAGACAGCAAACTACCTCAATGTGGATTAACATCAGACACAATTTCAAAGGAATATGCTTTTATCTACTCACTTGATGTAATTTTAATTAGAAACTCTTTTTACAGCTGGATTTTTGTGTTATATTTGTGACATTTAACAGCCATGATATTCATCTAGAGGACAGTAATGTAACTTTCTCTTGGCTTTATGCAAACACAGCCACATTATTTTAGGAGACTTTATCACTTCAGATCTTTAGTGCACTATAACTACATTTATCATTATGATATGTCATTATCAGTAAATTCTTTAACGCATAAGTAGGTCCTTGAACTATTAAATAAATACACAATACATTAGTGATTGCAAACACTGGGCAACACTGAACACGCAACAAAACCAGAGGAGTCTGGGCTTGCTACAATTTTAATCTGTTCAGTTACCTTTTTTTTTACGTTAAGAGTATGAACACTTGAGAGAGGTTTTACAAGTCAAATCCTCATCTGATGTATTTCTGTCCAGTTTTAATGATTCCAAGGGCTATCTTCCCATCTGCTCACAAACTGCATTGAAACAAGCTCTTTTTGGAGGGGAAAGTTTTTATTTCCAATGGAACCATGGCAATCCTTCAGGTTGTCTTGCAAATGATGATGGTAGTTGATCTATCAGAACTCATAACACTTTTGAGGGGCTCAAGTGTAACAAATGACAATGGAACGTTGTAGGTTTTATAACTATCTGGATAATTAGGATTTTCGTAATGAACTGCAATAACACATTGATCCTACTCCTCCTTTTCCAAAGAGGCCTCCCTTTTGTTTGGTAGATGAAGAGTTGCGGGAAAGCACTCATCTTGTGAGAGCAAATTTATCACAGATTTATCTCTGAGGGGCTGCTCTTATCACATGCCAACAACAGCATCATTGTAATTTTTTTCTTTAGAGACAGAAAACGCAACCACTTTTATCAAATTAAACAAAAGCCTAAGGAAAATATAGACAATCTCCCAGAGCACTGCTTCAACATGGCTCTATTGGACTAGATTTCTTATTCCCCCTCCATATACCTGTTTAATCAGTCATGCACTACTGAATACCAAGTCCATCTTTTGTGCTCTCTATAATTGCAAATCAATCATTGTAGAGGATTTTAAGCACGAAAACAATACTTATAAGAGCACAAATGTAATCGCTAATTAATTAATCTTGAAGCGTTGATAATCCAACTGGCCTAGCACTCTGACAGGTAATCATTCTTGGACTGATTTAATAAGCATGTTCATCCTGACACTTCCCCCTTCTAACAGGTAGTAAAGCCATGTCATTAAGTTTGTAGGTTTGTTTTCGTTTATTTATATTTAGAACCTAAATGGAATGAAAGCATTCACTATACTAGTGGGTCAAATATTTTACTTACAACATTACATGACTACCTTATCAGTAGCTTACACCAGCTATTCTTGGATACCATAGGTCTAAAGTGCAACCTGGTATTGGTGATTCAGGGCTTCAGCACAATTGTGACAAATAAGATAAGATGCAAGGAATAGTCTTCCCATGCAATTTGAAGTGCTTCCGATAATAAAATTCCCTGAAGTGATGGAACAAAGTAGCTATAAAGATTTCCCTAGTATCAAGGAAAAGTGAACAGAAAGCCAGACCTAAATCCTTTCAGACAGAGCTCTCCGTATCACAGAATTTATTTCCAAAAGCTTTGGAAGAGTCCTTGCAGAATATCCATCAGCCAAAAGAAGAGAAGATTACAGGTCCAAGAGGAGACCTCACACGTGGCATCTTGGACATACTTGCCATGTCTATGCCATGCACGGCAACATGGGCCTTTGGAGAAAACTGATGACATCTGTGTTCCTCAGAAAAAGCATCAATGTAACTTACAGCACTCCACTGCTTCTCACTCCAGTTACCACGACGCCAAAAGGATTCTGCTTCACATCCACTTTGTAGTTTAAATTGGAGCCCGTGGATTCAATGAAAGATCCCATGTGTTTATGGGGGACTTCACATCTATGTAGTTTAGAATCGGTGATCTGCACATCTTTAAACAACAGAAGCGCTGGGCTTTTAAAAAATAATGTCTAATTCAAACATTTTCCAGTGTTAATATATAGTTCTGACTTAGGATGTTCCCAGCCCCTGTAGCTCAATATGCATTGCTCCTTGTGAAAATACATGCCAAATTAAAACTGGAATGACTTTTTCTTGAATGGCACTGTGCTGCTGGTCTCACAGGTGCTCCTTCTGATGAAATAATGTTCTTCCACAGAAGCTTGAATTAGAGCATCAGGTAAAAGCACCTTAATGCTCTATTAAGTTGCTTCAGTAGATTGCAGATTTCTAGGACCGAATTTAAGGTGACCTCCTGGCAACTTTAGCTGACAGAAGTGTACACGATAGTTGTTTTCAGTATCTCCCAACAGTGAAAGTTATTTTACATACTTTGGAACACTGTATCTATTTGGAATGAGAACTACAAAGCACAGAAATGTTGTCTCAGGCTGAGATGCACACA